CGAAGAAACTAAAGCAGGCTCCGTAACGTAGCTATCACAACTAGCGATATGCGCATACAATACTCGGCAGTGAATGGTTGTTTGAGGGAGTGTTGTATAGTGAATGTGTGATTGGTTACAGCTGTGTGCATTCAGTGCAATGGATGATGGGATATGTAGTCCGGGATGACATGCAATAGTTTGTGTAGTGCGAGAGTCAATGTAATGGAAGGGTGACCTCTGGTGGTGATTGAATGTAAGTCCATGGACAGGATTCGTGACACTAACTATGCACACAGTGATTGGCTGATGGTCTCTGTCAGAGATTTATTCATAGAAATATTGTAGAGCGCAATATTATGTTGCCACATTCAAATAAAGATTTTAAAATGCAGGCTAAGTGTCACTAATTAAACCAGTAGGCTATATATTCAGCTAATTGTCAGCCTCTTATATGTATGCTTCTTGTAAACAATTAGTCAATTTGCATTAGGGCTGCCCTTGACTAAAGATTTTTCTGGTCGACTAGTCGTTCATTTTAAGCATTAGTCGACTATTAGTCGCACTTTTATTAATAAGTCATATAAATCATTATAATGAGCCTTTAAGAAAGCGCATCCTGTTTGCTTTTATTATTTCACAAAAGCGCAACTTTTCGTTGTTATTCTGAGTGCACACGAATAAACGTAGAGTCTTTACAGATACAAAAGATGCATTACTCTTATCTGTATGACCAAAAATGACGAAGTATTTTAAGATCAAATGATCGCACGAGCGCCTCCATCTGTCATGCAGTAGCCCAAGCACGCTACTGTTCAGCTTCCACACTCCGCACAAACACGTGAGCACTTTTTTCTAGGCTAACATTAGATTGAGCTGCCATGTAAAGTTGCTACTACATACATTTTTCAGATGATAAGCCATATTTGAGGTCGATGAACGTTAGGACTAAGGAGAGCATATGGATGTCCTGCCCGATGTACTATATTACCACATAGACCAGCCTTTAACGATTTGTCCGTCACAGACTGCGTGATTTCGCCACTTCATGTGGATTTTTTTTTTCTGCGACTAAGCGACTAATAAAATTTTGGTAATATGCATATAAACAGCCTTTTAATTAGCAGAGTAGAATAATCATGGCTGATAGTAAGACATGCAAACATAAAAGAAAACCAAACTGGACGCGAGAAAAAGCTAGCCTATATATTAAGGATATAATAAAATATTTGGAGTTGGGATAACCTCCAAACCAAAGCGATACCTTTTTAAAAGCTCATTATCGTCAAATGTTTCTAAAATGTTTATATTCCGAGGTAGATTGCTGGCAACAGCCATTTTAGGATAGTTCACATTTGGTCTTAGTGACTTAGGAGTCCTCTTCACTACTCCTAACGTTTCACAGATTTATGAGCTAATTTTAGCGCTAAAACGCTTTGTGAAATACTCTTAGAACAAAAATTTAGGAGTCCTAAATTTAGGACTGACACGCCCATTATTTTTAAGATTTTCTCCTAAATCGGTGAGTTATGAGCTACTTTTAGCCTTAAGATGTTTTGTGAATACAGGCCCTGGTCTAGAGCGCTCAGACTAGGCCAAATGTTCAACTTCCAACAGGACAATGTCCCTATAAACAGCCACAGACAGTAGACCACCACGGCGGGGCAGAGGACCACCACGGCGGGGCAGAGGACCACCACGGCAGGGCAGAGGACCACCAGAACCAGACAGTAGACCACCACGGCGGGGCAGAGGACCACCAGAACCAGACAGTAAACCACCACGGCGGGGCAGAGGACCACCTCGGCGGAGCAGAGAACCACCACGGCGGAGCAGAAAACCACCAGAACCAGACAGTAGACCACCACGGCAGAGCAGAGGGCCACCACGGCAGAGTAGACGGGACCGAAGATCCCCACGGCGGAGCAGAAGACCACCAGAGCCAGAAAGCAGACCACCACGGCAGAGGAGAAGACCACCAGAGCCAGACAGCAGACCACCACGGCGGAGCAAAAGACCACCAGAGCCAGACAGCAGACCACCAGAGCAGGGCAGAAGACCACCAGGCCAGAGCAGACTGAGCAGAAGACCACCAAGGGGGAGCAGAAGACCCCCAGGCCAGAGCAGAAGACCACCACGGAGGAGCAGAAGACCACCAGGCCGGAGCAGATGGGACTGAAGCCCACCAGGGCAGAGCAGACAGAGCAGAAACCCACCACGGAGGGCCAGATTGATCAGGAGACCCTGGCAGATACTGAGACCTAGGAAAAGTAGAGATACGAGAGACAGGCAGTGCATTCACGGTAACAAGGATCAAGGCAGGGAACACAAGTTCATTAAAGGTTTTCATGGCAGTGACAGACAGAGATGAGAATTCCTGAACGGCCCTTGTAGCTGCAGCAGAACAGTCAGTAAGTTCACAGACAGCATCTTCAGGTGTGACAGATAAGGCAGAGAGTTCAGAAACAGCTTCTTTGGCTGGATTGAGACAGGGCAATAGTTCGCAAATGGCCTCTTTGGCCAGTTCAGGATGAGACAATAGTTCGTAAACGGCCTCCATAGCAGCCTCTTATATGTATGCTTCTTGTAAACAATTAGTCAATTTGCATTAGGGCTGCCCTTGACTAAAGATTTTTCTGGTCGACTAGTCGTTCATTTTAAGCATTAGTCGACTATTAGTCGCACTTTTATTAATAAGTCATATAAATCATTATAATGAGCCTTTAAGAAAGCGCATCCTGTTTGCTTTTATTATTTCACAAAAGCGCAACTTTTCGTTGTTATTCTGAGTGCACACGAATAAGCATTCACAGTAACAAGGATCAAGGCAGGGAACACAAGATGTTCATTAAAGGTTTTCATGGCAGTGACAGACAGAGATGAGAATTCCTGAACGGCCCTTGTAGCTGCAGCAGAACAGTCAGTAAGTTCACAGAGAGCATCTTCAGGTGTGACAGATAAGGCAGAGAGTTCAGAAACAGCTTCTTTGGCTGGATTGAGACAGGGCAAGTAAGACATGCAAACATAAAAGAAAACCAAACTGGACGCGAGAAAAAGCTAGCCTATATATTAAGGATATAATAAAATATTTGGAGTTGGGATAACCTCCAAACCAAAGCGATACCTTTTTAAGAGCGCTCAGACTAGGCCAAATGTTCAACTTCCAACAGGACAATGTCCCTATAAACAGCCAAGACATAGTAAGCTTTGGGGACGACTCAGTGAATGTCCTTGAGCTAGACTCCAGACTCTCTGGAAAGACCTGAAAATGGCTGTCCACCAACAGTCACCATCCAACCTGTCAAAGGATCTGCAGAGAAGAGTAACAGACCATCCTTAAATCCAGGTGTGCAAAGCTTGTTACATCATATCCAAAAAGACCTCAGGCTGTAATCGTTGCCAAAGGTGATTCAGTATTGAATACTTATGCCCCTTTTTTCATTTATATTTTTCTTTTTAATACATTTGCAAATTTATCACAAATCCAGTTTTTGCTTTATCATTATGGAGCATCGAGTGTTGATAAAAAAACAAAAAAAAGTTAAAGCAATTGAGGCTGCAACATAAAATGTGGGGGGGGGAATTAAGGGGGTATACTTTCAAAGATTGCAGTTCAGGATTTTAAAAGAAGTTCTCACCAAGGCTGCATTTATTTGATAAAAATGCAGCAATATTGTGAAATATTATTACAATTTCATATTATTTCAATTATTATATAATATATATTAGTAATATTATTATATTATTATATGTTTAAAACAGTTTTGCTGCATGATATTTTTGTGGAAACTGTTGCATTAATTTTTTTAGGATTCTTTGATTAATAGAAAGTTCAAAAGAACCAAATTTATTTGACATCTTTTGTAATACTGTAAATGTCTTTACTGTCACTTTTGAACAATTTAATGCATCTTTGCTGAATGAAAGTATTCATTTCTTTAAAAAACAAAAAAGTTTTACTGACCCCAAACTTTTGAAGGATATTGTATGTTATATATAAATAATTATTTATTATTATATATAATTTATTTATTTTATATCATAAAATAAATCAGTGGGTTGTTCTACAAATATTAAAGTTTTTCTCTTTCAATTACATTTTTTTTTAGCTATATGATTTTGCCAATTTTTTCATAATGCCTTATCCCTCTGTCTTAAAGGGAAACAGATCACAATGAACCTGTCATAAGAAAGAATACATAAGGAAAGTGGTTCGAGCGATAAAAAAGTATAATAAGTGTACATTTGCACAAGACACAGGTTGAATGGCACAAAATTGTCTAGAAGAATGTAAGTCTTGATCATGCCAGGCACAAGAGAGGTGCTGAGAACAAGATCAACCAAAGCCAGATTACCAACAGCCATGAACTTTGGGACATGCAGACGGTGGTCATAGAAAATGATGGTGATCAGAAATACATTGCACATGTACATTGCACATGCCTTTATAATGCATAATTGCATTATCGCTCTGGGAGTTTTTATTGTTGTTACAAAAATGAACACAAAAATAAACAGACTAATTAGTGACGATCAGGTACACCATCATTAGTCTCACATTAATTAAGTAAAAAAACACTAATGAATGTCTTTTCCCTTAAGACATTAAATATTAGATACAGGAGATTCTTTCATGTTTAACGACACCACTGGAGGAAAAACTGACCTATATATTGCCCACAAATGTTCTCAAGTTAACACTCAGAATTCACGGAGATCCTGGACTGTGAAGCAGAGGCAAAAACTGCAGGGAAGACAACAGCATCTGCATTATACACAAACCACAGCATCATTGTTGCATGTATGTATACGATTATGAAAATAACTGAAACATGTCAAGTGAAGATTTTCATTGTTATATTTCTGGTTGAATGTCATAAAGGTGTATGTCCTCAAATAACACCGATGTTAAAGGTGATTTGTGAAGCACAGACTGTTTGTGACTGTTTCTCACAGGTATTTGGTTTCTCACTCACTAAAAGCAAAGCAAGCTGCAAGGAAGCTGGGTTGTAAAAAAAAACATGATCAAGACTTACATTCTTCTAGACAATTTTGTGCCATTCAACCTGTGTCTTGTGCAAATGTACACTTATTATACTTTTTTATCCCTCGAACCACTTTCCTTATGTATTCTTTCTTATGACAGGTTCATTGTGATCTGTTTCCCTTTAAGACAGGAGTCTATAAACACAAACACCAGAATGGCTTATATAATCAGTGCAGTTTGGTTCTTTGTTTCTACTACAACACTCTGTTGCACTTCATCCATTCCAACTCTCTCATTTTGTGGCTCTCTTAATGTCAACAGCTATTTTTGTGATTATGCTCCTGTTTTAAGACTCGCTTGTAGCGATACAACATCCCAGTGGAATTGTGCCACTGCTTTAACTATACTCTTCATTACTATACCTTTCATTTTTATTTTCTCGACCTACATGGGTATACTGACTGCTGTATTTAGAATGAAAAATAATCAGAGCCGTTATAAGGCGCTGGCCACGTGCACAGAGCACCTCATATTAGTGGCCTTGTTCTTCATTCCTATTTTTATTATCTTCAATCTTGGATTTTTTGGAATGATTATAAACCCAAATATAAGAACAGTGTGCCTGTCTTTTTCATCCCTCCTCACACCCTGCGTGAATCCCATCCTCTACTCATTGAAAACTAAAGAGATTCAAAGAAGGCTTCATTCATTGTTAACCCGGAGACTGTCTGTTCATCCTCTAAAAAATGCACATTAATGTACAACATTGAGATTATTTATACTGTTATTTTGGAGGCTTTCTGTGTTGCTTCCTGTATTATTTTGTGGTCATTTTAAAAAGCTTTTTTTCCAATAATAAAATTAAATCTCTGATTTTACTTTTGTTCTGCAGTTAACTTTGTTCAGCTTGCAGTATTTAGTCATAAAGAACACATATCCATGTTTTCCTATATTGTGCAACATCTCTATACTGTATTCAGCCAGGTTTTGTTTGCTCTTTGCTTTCAAACATTTTAAATTATGTAAATCTCCATGTTAGCCAAAACCCCCGCAGCCTTATTCTACATGTTTATTACCACACACATGAATAAAGTGTTTCTTTTCAATAACTATTTTGTTTAAAGGGGTCATGAACTGCATTTTGTATTTTATAATATTCTCTGAGTGTGATTTGTGATGAAAAAAATCATAATTTAGAAGTAAGAGGCTATTTTTTTTATATCCTGTTTTTGAGCCTCTCTGCAGAACAGTCTGTTTTTATAGGTGGAGCACATTCAAGTAAATGCCCGCTGCTGTGATTGGCTAACAGTTTCGCTTATTAAAATAACAAACGGACTTTCAAAGATTGCTGCTGTAACATACTCAAAACAAAAAAGTGAAAGTGAAAGTGAAGTGACGTGTGGCCAAGTATGGTGACCCATACTTGGAATTTGTGTTTACTGTTTACTCACACAAATTATGTGTTGCGACATTCCCCTTGTCCAAATACCCACACTTGCGGTCTTGGCCAATTGAGAGTGCGTGCCCAAGACTGTCCCAGGTCTTAAAAACGCCAAAGCGCAGTGGCCTTAACGCACACTAAATCCACACTATCTCCAGAGTGGTATTCTGGGCTTAGTGCATCCCATAATGCATCATGTTGTGGAAATAAATCGTGAGACTTTTTGCCGAGATCTCGCGAGAGGTTACGGAAACCTTTCCAATGTATGTTAAATATTAATAATAGTTAGATATTACATATAATTTGGTAGTAAAAACAATGAGTAGTGGTGCTAATTATTTTGTACAACATTTGCAACTGCTTTTTTATCACTTAATTAGAAGCACCACAAAATTAAATAGTGTCATCTGTTACAGGGACTGCTGAACAGTCATTTAGCCTAGAAGTTGATTTTAAAATGCAAAGTATTGAAAATAAAAATAAAGCTCTGTAAACACTTGCATTTTTACAACACTATAAGTGTAAAGGTTTTACACACACTTGTGGTCTTCATGCTCACTTGAACACTTGGACCAAATACAGGAAATACATCATATAAGTAGTCAAGTGGTCAAGTGCGGTAAAGACCGCAAGTGCGGGTATTTTGGACAAGGGGATTAAGGATGTGCCCGAATAGTGAATCCGAATTCGTAAAGGCACAGAAAACGAATAACGTGTTCTACGGAAGCCCTAAAGAGAATATATACGAGATGGAAGGCAAAAATATATTTCAATGCTTTCTCTCGCAAGTATATCATTGGGTAATTATACTGTATATAAATTATAATAAATTCATCAGGAAGCCGCTATTAATATGCGGGGCATTGAATTCACTTTTGAATGCGCACCCACTTTTTACTTTCACTTTCGAGATTCATGATCACACGTACTCTGTGTATACTATGGAGCGCCAGTACTTACCACACATTTCACAAGATTAGAATTTTTGTCAGTGGTGCTCAGGATCTGCAAATCATTCGCCATTGTCCTATCAGTCATCTCTCCTTTGTTTATGTGGTAATTTAAATTTTATGTACTGTAATGTAACCGGGTACCGCTAGCAAGCGGCTAACCAAGTCCCTTTAGTGGCTTCGTAGATCACGTTATTCGTTTTCTCTGCCTTTCCGAATTCGGATTCACTATTCGGGTACATCCCTAAAGGGAATACTGTTGGATCCACTCTAGTCAGACTCAGCACTACCATCATCGTTTACATTCAGTCTCTCTGAAAAACCTGCATCATACTGTCTTGTTTAAAAATGAATCCGTAGCAAAGTAAAGCAAACAAACAAAGTGTTTCACTGACATGATCTGGGGCCCGTTTCAGGCCAGGTCCACACATACACGGGTATTTTTATAAACCGAGTTTTTCCTTCTTCCGTTTTTAAAAAAATCTCAGTCTACATGAAAACGCAAAAGCATGCTATGAAGCACTGTCAAGAGCATGCCAAGCCAACAGGTGGTGATATAATCTCAACCGTAAAGCCATGTTGGCCAATCAGAAGCCTGAAAAAGTTTCCAGTAGGCGGAGATAACAGCGCATGCTCCGACGTCACAAGCCAAAATCTCCGGTTTCGCTGTCTACACGTTAACACTGCAACCGGAGTTTTTGAAACTCTTCACCCTGGCAGGAGTTTTCAAAAATGTTCTGTTTCAGTGACCTGGTGCTGCATTTGCGTGTGGACGAATGGCCAAACCTCATAGAAAAAGCTGCGGTTTTGAAAATACCCCCGTTCGTGTGGAAAGGGCCTCAATAAGGAGGTTCAACCAAACTTGAACTCTGAATTGACTTATCCTGAGATGGGAAACTCAGAGTTTTCGGGTTCAGAACAGCTGAATTGAGTTAGTTCAATCAATACGTAACTTTAATTCTTAATCACTGTTATAATATCAAATGTAAAAACTGGCAAAACTGTCAATTATTGAACTAATATAAATTTTCATGGTATCCTACAGGTAAAAGAAAAAAAAAGAACAACAAAAAAAAAGCAGCTAAACACAGAGGCGGACAGTAGTGAAGTATTTTTACTCTGCTGTAAAAGTACTTTTCAGGTGTCTGTACTTTATCAGAGTGTTTTTCTTTAGAAAACTTTACTTCACAACATTCCAAAGCATAATATTGTACTTTTTACTGCACTACGTTTCATATTAAATATAATTTAATACTCAATTACATTAGAAATCTATTACTTTCTTACTTTTACTCAAGTAAAATTAATTCAAAGATTTACTTGAGTACAAGAAAGTACTACATTGTTTATGTTCTTAAGTATTAAAGGTAAAACGAACAACAACTTTTATTTATGAAATGAAGTGCAGTAAAATGTATGACATTATGCTTTGGAATGTAGTGAAGTAAAGTTTTCCAAAGAAAAACACTCTGATAAACTACAGATACTTTTTTAATTTTCTTGAGTAAAGTAAAAATACTTCACTATACTGTCCGCCTCTGGCTAAACATGAAGTAAAAACTTAATTCCATCAGGCAAAGCTTTAAGCATAAAATGTTCATGGGTGTAGGCTACATGACTTTACAAACATTTTGTTGTGTTGAGAAGTATACAATACTTGATGTTCAATTAATAGTAATTGCTTATTATAATACATGTAATGTGGAATTGCACCACTAGGGGCACTAGTGGGAAATTGTGTTGAGTAATGCGAGATACGAGAATAAAGGACAAGGTTTGAGTGTTTGATATATATCGTATGGAGTGTGTTCTGTTAACGTGTAAAAACACCACAAATTGGCGATGAGGATGAGCACTTCAGTGCCGAGCCCGCCCCCGTTTATTCCTGTCAGTGGGGAGCCACCGATTCCAGTTGAAATGTGGCAGAAAATCTTACATAATTACATTACAGTTATCCAGGCAACCGGAGATGCATGGCCGGAGACGCACAGACGAGTGGTCTTGCTGCATTGCTTGGGGACGTAAGGCCAGCGCCTGTTTTATACTCTGCCAGACCAAGGCACTACTTTTGATAAAGCAATGGCTGCACTTCAAAAACACTTTGTGCCTACAGTTAATGTAGTACCGTGGTGCTGGCACACGTTCAGACAATGTGTAATACAAAAAAAAACAAAAAATAAACAATACCAAGTATTGGAGGAATATTAACATTCAACAGGGAAAAGAATAACTGTTGCTTTTGTATTTGCAGGAAATAAAGATGACCAAATAAATTTAAGAGCTGTGGTGGTGGTTACGACATATATCTTCAACTACCCTTCCATCTGACATCCTTCCATTCTGTAGTAAATCAGCTCAAAAGGGAAATATTTATGACTAATTATAACTGGTTATGATTAATAATAAATATTTAGATTAGATCTTCGAATTAACTGTAGCAGAATCAATATTACCATTACTTGATCTGTCCGTCCACCGAGCAGACAAAATAATCATTTATCAATTCAAAGAAAGATTATTTTCCTGGCCAAGGAAGAATACTTTCCTTATTTATGCAGTGCTAGCAGTAATTTAACATATGTAGCAAGGGTTCAAAACATTCATTGACTTCGAATTGTGAGCAGCAAACAGAGGCAATCGATCGTGAATATAAGGGATTTAATAAATGAAACTATATCTAACATATAACTAACTAAGCAAAACACATATATACAGAATGAAACAAAGTAAGGAAAAAGAGAGAGGAGAGTAAAAGAATGGCAGTATTTTACATCAATCTTAAACACAACCTAATGAGAATCATCAGAGAATCAAAAATCACCGTAAAAGGGGCTGAAACTTAAACACGCATCTAAATAATTGTAAACGGTTACTTGCATTGGCTTCGATCGCTGAACAACAGTTCTGATGTGGTAGACAACGGAGGTCTTTGATGAGTTCGTTAGGAGTGAGCTGGAAGTTTACTTCTGGTTCTTCTGAAGAAGGAAAAGTCCACAGCGACTCGAAGTTACTTGAAGATAAAAACTGCCAGAAAA